GTTTTGCTTCCTTCCACAGGTATTGATTTCTAAGAAACCTTTTGCACCACAAACTCCATCTCAGTGTTGGCTTCTTGAGGAATCATCTACACAGCTTGCCCATGACTGTGCCTGATTACATTGCTGCTGAGGGGTGTGCCAGTATCAGAAGTATTCTTTATCTCCAAGTCTTATCCTTCCTTTAGGTAAGTCTTCTGGGCACTGGGAAGGGGTGCTGGAGAGGTCGGTATAGATTCTCCAGACTTCATACAGCTAGAGGAAATAGTCTTTCAAGAGTGAAAGTAGCTTGTGTTTGTTAAATGTGCCAGTTGATGACAAAATGCTTGCCTACAAAGAGGGTCTATCAATACTTTACAAATGAGAAAGCTGAGGCTTTGAGAGTTTATTTGCCTAAAGATATAACACAGGATCTTAATCTAGGCTCTCTGTCCTTAGACTCTAGATTAGAGGTATAGATAAAACTAAATAGCTTAGTATTATAAAATGGAAAGAGTTGTTTTTTGAATAGAGCTGTAGAGTGGATTCAGGGCAGGTCAGTAAAGATGCAGAAACAGCCCAGGAAAATGGCATGTGGCTGACTTTCACATTGTTAAAAGCTAATAGAGTTTAAGAATAGAAACATTAAATAATTGAAAGTCCTGTATATTGCAGTGAAGTAAACCCCTATCACTCTCTCATCTTCTTAGATCTCAAAATTTCAGTAAAGTCTGGCCCAGAAGGGCCTCCCATTTAGTGTGTGTGTTTATAAACCACAGAGGGGCTGCCTGAGCAGAGAATAGGAATTAGCAGAGACAAAAAACTGAATTCAGAGTTAGAGGGGTCATGTGATAGTTCTCTTCAAATTTCCCTCCTTCCTACCTGCTTCCAGGCTCAAAGGAAATTGCAGAAAGGTTTAAGAAGTTATAGGACTTTTCACATGCAGGAAATAGATTTGAGCCAAATTTGTCTTCATCTTTAGGGCCAGGGAGATTCCAGATGACAGCTGGGCAGCATATGCATGACAAGAAGTTTAGTAAGGCAAATAAAAATTGATACTGGTAACTAGATTTAGAAGAGGGAAGTAGGACAGGAAATTTGAATTTGCTTTTGTGTGTGTGTGTGTGTGTGTGGTTTTTCTGGGTTTTCAGAATTTCAACAACAAATATGTATAACCTTTATGAAAAAAAGAATAATAAATTATCAATATCTATTTCTCCTGTGTTACTGATTACCCAGACTCTTCTGTCCCTTAAGTGTGCCTAATCATTAAAAAGGAAAAGATATAATAAACACACATATAAACCATGCCATTGATTCATATCTGAGTGATAGAGTTACAGAAAAAAGAATAATCTACATATCTAGTCAGAACTCATTGCTTTTGTGTTAGAGGATCCAAAATGTTCTTGGGCAATACTGTGGGTCTAAGAATAAGACCATTTGTCAATATTTGAACTTTGATCAAGTCAAGGTTAAGATTGATTAGGCCAAATTTTACTCTTGATTTTATTCTTGACACATGTAATTTTGGGTATGCAGGTGATTTTCTCCTCTTAGTTTTTCTGCTCTTAAAATGATCATTATAATTTGCAAGTAGATAATGCTTACAAAAAATTTTATGGTCTCAGATTTAAGATTCAGTATAAAGGGGAGCTATTATTATGACATATTTCAATTTTATTGATCAAGCAAATGATCAATATTTAGACCAAAACAAACAAACAAACAAACAAGAAATTATGAACAAATTTCCTTGCTTCTTCCAGATAACATAAGTTCTAGTATTTAATGAAAAGTTTAATTTAAAACATGAATTTCTACCTAAATTATTTTGCTGTTCTGTTTTTGTAAACCAAATGAAATTATAAAAGAGCATTCTGACAGTAGGTATCTTGTACATATGTATATATGTTGTCCAAATAAAAATAATAAATGAAAACAAAAATAAACCATGAATTTCTTATTTTTGCTACTCATATGAAGTATTTAGTAGAAAAACAAAATAGCTGCTTATTATTTTTTTAAAAAACCTGAATCTGTGGGGTACAGAAGGATGAAAGATATATGATTTCATGTCTTGGTCTATCATCTTTTACTTGTAAATTTACATATCTGGGTAGGGAACAGTTAAAAAAATGTATACTTTTTTGTGCTTTTAGAAAAATGAACAGACCCAAAGTGGAAACTTTAAAGTTTCATTATAACATCCTGTTGCCATCTACCTAGTGATGTTGTCCCACTGAGCCACATCCCCAGCCTTTGCTATTTTTTATTTTGGCAGGGTCTTGCTAAATTGCAGAGGCTCGCCTCAAACTTGTGACTCTCCTGCCTCTGCCTCAGGAGTAGTTGGGATTACAGGTATGTTCCACTGCAACTGCTTAGCTTTGCTTCGCTTCTTCTGCTGAGACAATACTGGCGTCTGAGGACCTGATTCTGGTTTTGCTTCTGGGTCACTGGCAAGATTCACTCCTGGCGTTCAATTGATGAATAAGTACGTTAAGACTTATAAAGATTTTAAGATTTATTTCTTGCTAAAGAGGATTTGAGAACTGTGAGGATGTAAATGTTAGCAGTGATTGTAAATTTTAGAACTGAGAGAGCTTGCAAATTCATGAGACATCCATTTACTGCAATGACAGCAAACAATTATTTCTTTTTCAATATATCTTTTTGGGTAAGATAGAAATTAAAAAAACAGTCTGTATCTAAAGTAATATACTATTTTCAAGTTTTTTTGTTTGATCATTTGAAAACCCATTTCTCTGGTTTAGATCTCATTTTAGAAAACCAGGTATAAAAGACATTAGAGGAATAATTGGAAGAAACTTTGAATGTGGGCTAAATATTAGGTGATAGTCCAGCATAGTGGTGTGTGCCTATAATCCCAGAAGCTTGTGAGGCAGAGGCCGGAGGATCATGAGTTTAAAGCCAGTCTCAGCAACTTACCGAGGCCCTAAGTAACTCCATGGAACACTGTCTCTAAATAAAATATAAAAATAGGGCTGGGAATGTGGCTCAATGGTTAAGCTCCCTGGGTTTAATACCCAGTGCCAAAAAAAAAAAAAAGAAAGAAAGAAAAAAAGAAAAAAATTAGGTGATAGTAAAAAGTTCACCGTAATTTTGTTCAGTTAGACAATCTTATTTTAGCTCTGTAGAAAAATGATCTTTTTTCATATTTCAGTGATGTATGCTGAAGTACTCATGGATGGAATGTGATAACTTTTTTTTTTTTTTAAAGAGAGAGAGAGAGAGAGAGAGAATTTTTTTTTTTTTTTAATATTTATTTCTTAGTTTTCAGCAGACACAACATCTTTGTTTGTATGTGGTGCTGAGGATCGAACCCGGGCTGCACGCATGCCAGGCGAGCGCGCTACCGCTTGAGCCACACCCCCAGCCTGTGATGACATTTTTAATTTGCCTTACAAACATCAATGCAAAAAGTATTGAGTTACAAAATTTGAATTTGTTTCATCTCTCATGCTTTTGGTTCACGTTGTTATTCATGATTGTTTTTCTTCACATATCATCTTACTTGTCTTTTACTTCTTTATTTACAAATGTATTATTTTATTGTAAAGTAACACAACAATACTGTATTACAGAAAATTGAAAAATTCTCATTTTCCCATCACAAATGTCATTAACAGATGTATTTTCTGGTTTCCCCCCCTGAATTATATTGTGTTTTATTTTAATCTTAGTTTATGTACAATTTAGTCTACTGTGTTTTTCCCTGAGCATTGTATCTTAAGTCTTGGGTCCCTTTAAATTTCCTAACATATAACCTTCCAGTGGTATTAAAAGGAAAGTTGTTTATTTAATAAAGTTTCTTGTATCCCATGCCTCTTCCTACTGTGAATGTACTGATATAGGTCAAGTCCAAGTGATCACTTGCTGAGCACATGTAGGCCTCATGGCCAGCATGGCACAGCTGGAATGGACAAAGAAGTGAACAGTACCACAAGGAAGCCTGGGCTCTGCTGTCCCTCGCCCTACGTGCATTCCCACACATGACATGCTTCCAGCCTTTGGGTATCCTGCAAAATGGGGACAAAGTCCATTGTATATTTGCACGACACCAAAAGATCACTCCTTAGGTGCCTTGCCATTCACAAGGGGAAAAGCAAAATTTTACAATGGTGAAATCTGGGGATCACCACCCAAGCCCAGTGACCAGTTTGGGTATCACTAATAATGAGACACTAGAATAAATTATATATCACTTGATATGAAGTAATATGAAGTATAGGCCTTTATCTGTGAAGTATTGCTGCCAAAATGTTTTATCTACATCTAATCAAACTTTTATATCCACATTTTAGTTTATAAGAAATATAGAGAATCAAAGAACACATGAAGCAGTTCCAGAAGGAAACAATCACACAAATCTAGCAGTAGGGACATTCTGTAAGGAGTCTGATCCATACTTCTCAACAAATCAAAGTCATATAAAAAGGAAGGAGAAAGAAAGGGACTGTTTTATATTTGAAGAGACATGAGATCCGTATAGCAAGATGCAATGTGTATTCCTTGTTTGGTTCCTGATTTTAACAAACCAGAATAAAATAAATTCAAAGAGGAAACTGAATATTAGATGATAATAGGAATGACTGAAATTTTGTTAGGTGTGATAACGGTATTGTGTTACCTAAGATAATATCCTGATTTATTGGAAGTGGATGTTCACTGAACTCTTCTTTCTATTGTCCAGTATATTTTAAATATTTTTTCATTAAAAAGTTTTCTGAGAGTGGAGGCAGGGAAGGGAGATGTGTTCTATGAGCCAGACAGGGTGTTTCCTAATGCTTTCTCTATCCTATAAACAAATTATTATTCAAACACGAAAGAGGTGATCATCAAATAATATAAAATATAAATTTCCACAAGACTGAACAGACCAGATTTTCAGTACTTGTTGTAGAATTTCATCCTATTTTCTTCTCTCTGAGATGAGGATAACAAAGGCAAATAGACTTAAAATGGGAATACTACAACGGTTTTACTACAGAGGAGGAAAGAGCAAAGAGTCACAATAAATATTTATTGAGTACCTACTGCATGCCAGGCACCATGCCAAGAATAGGAGATGCTACAATAAACAAGTCCAATGTGGCCTCTACCATAATGGAAGGTACTCTTTGGAGGGGAAGACAGACAACAACATGCAAACAGGCACCTAATATAACTTTGCAGAGTAATTCCTCCTGTGGAGGAAACACACACAGGCTGCAAAACAACAACAAATACGTGTGCCAGCCAGGAAAGGGGTCTTCCTGGAGGAGGTCTCCTTGGAGGTACAGTCAGGCTGAACCCTGCAAGAGAAGGAAACAGTTGGAAGAAAGGTGAAGAGAAGATCACTCTAGGCAGAAGACACTGTGCACAAAATTCCTGGTGGGAACAAAGGATCAGAAGAAAACCAGTTTGATTTAGGTGTAGCATCCTAGGGGCACTGTGGCTCAAGGCAAGTTAGAGAAGTAGCTTTTAGGCCATGTCAAGGAATTTAATTTTTTTTTTCTGAATGCCATGGGAAACCAGATTCAATAATATTTATTTATTTAAAAATATCCCACTTTTAATAAGCCTGAGGGCAATTGCCAATATAGTAAAAGCGTAGGCACCACAACTACATATCTTACACTTAACCATTCACTTTTAGTTCTAACTAAAAGTTCTTTAGTTAGAGCCTTCCCTCCTGCCAAAATGGCAAACTATTAGTTTGTGTATCAGAAATCTACTGCCGCATAACAAATTGTTCGAAAAATGACCCAAACCAACAATAAACCTTTATCATCTCATAGTCAGGGAGTCTGGAGTGGCTATGCTGTGTGGTTCTGGTTCAAGGTCTCTCATGCAGTTGCAGTCAAGATGTTGGCTGGCTTGCAGACATCAGAAGATGAAAGTAGACGAGTCACTTCCAAGATGGCTACACACATGGCTGTTGGCAGGAGTCCTGGGTTCCTCAATAACTGCCACATGGTTCTCTTCAAGGAGCTTCTTGAGAGTTCACAGAACAGGGCAGCTGGCTTCCCTTAGAATGAACAATCAAGGAAGAGTAAGGAGGAAGCCACAATGCTATTGATAAGTCTTGGAAATAACATACACTGTTACTTCTACAATATTCTATTAGTGTCATTAGGCGATAAGTGACTAAGTCCAGCCCACACTTGAGGGGAGGGAAGTTGAAAGCAGGAGTGTCCAGGATTTGTGATATATTTGAAAACTACCACATTTGGTGACCCAGTTCAAATGTGGAAGTGTCCTGGAATTTCCTGAGCAGAGCTAGTTGTTCTGTTTTTTTCAGTGTTCCATCTCTTATGACTCCTGTCTTGTTCACTGTGTTCAGTTTATCTAGCTTTCTCACTAGACTGGAAGCTCCTTCAGATCAAGAGAGTATGTCCTATAATCATTTGCATCTTTAATCTACTCATTAATAAAATTTTCAAAATACCACAGACACTACTCCCATAACAGGTTTTTGAGAACCCCAACATTTTCTTGATTTATTCTTTGCATTTTACACACACACACACACACACACACCTTCCAACTAGAAGATAAACTCCAAAAACAACACTTATGTTACTCATCTCTCTTTCTAAAGTCCTCATAGCAACAAAGACAATACTCTGTGCTATAGTGTCAATATCTTTTCCTAAGAATTAAACAAGGGAGGGCACTTTGGAGTTCAAAACTATCTCCAGATTCTTTGGTAGTCAGAACATTTGCTGGCTACCCCAGTTCTGTGCAACTCTAATGAAGATAAACTCAGTTCACTATGCATCAGACATTCTATGTTGAGAAAGGCCTCTGAAGCATAGGAATCTTTTGTTCTGCTTCTGCTTTCTTTTTTTAAAATTAATTTTTAAAAATTTATATATGACAGTGGAATGCATTGCAAATTTTATTACACATATAAAGCACAATTTTTCATATCTTTGGTTGTATATAAAGTATACTCTCACCAATTCATTTCTTCATACATGTACTTTGGATAATGATGTCCATCACATTCCACCATCATTTCTAATCCCATGTTCCCTCCCTTCCCCTCCCACCCCTCTGCCCTATCTAGAGTTCTTCTACTCCTCCCATGCCCCCTCCCTACCCCACTATGAATCAGCCTCCTTATATCAGAGAAAAACATTTGGCATTTGTTTTTTTGGGATTAGCTGAATCAGCCTCCTTATATCAGAGAAAACATTTGGCATTTGTTTTTTTGGGATTGGCTAACTTCACTTTCTTATTCTTTGGGGGATGATGGAGCTCACAATGTGAGGCTCCCTTTAGCATTCACCGGACAGAACTTGAGCAAATCTTGCTTTACTTTTTCCTCTAAAAATGAGAAGCCATATTTCCTTTCATATTACAAAGTATCATCTTGTCCTTGGTCTCAGTTTCTAGAATGTTCTCAATTTAGGTAGCTTTTTCAGGGTGAGTGAAAGGCCTAGATAGGCCTTGATTCTTATGCCCAGAAGGCTTTTGATATTCTTAGAAGTCTTCTGTAACAGATTTCTTTGGGTGTGGAAGAAGGAGTATGATCAGTGCTGAATCCATGACAGGCCCAGGGTAGGAGAAGTGGGAGAGAAGTAAGTAGAGGTTGGAACAGGACCTGCCCCTCTGTCCCCTTCTCCTGGACAAGGAAGTTCTTTCTCTCATAAAGAATCAAAATAACTGCACATTAAAATTAAAGGAAAACAACAGAAACACTCCCAGTAAAATAACCTAGGTAGCATATTAGAGGGCCACTTTCTGCCCCAAAGGAAAAATCAAATACATATCAACTCCTCTCCTTTCTCTCTCCAACCTGTAAAGACAGAATTGCCCTAATCAGACAAAAATTCCAGTTTTTACTGTTTTTTTTTTAATTTGTGCATTATAATTATACATAATAGTGGGGTTCATTATGCCACATTCATATATGCACATAACAGTTTGCTCAATCGAATTCCCCAGTACCTTCCCTTTCCCCACTCTCCTCGCTCTGTTTTACTGTTTCTAAGAAGGTGATCCATGCGTGCTAACTCAGGTAATATGGTCAGCCTCGAGGCCCTCAAATGATGATGGTTCTATTGCTAATGTTGATTGGGTGGCCTGGCACTGCAGCAACGAAGCTGAGATAAAATCCTGGCAGACCTCTCCATCAGGAAAAGCAAATGGGTTCTGAAGAAAGAGACAGAGAATCTGGATTTGTTTGGCTTGGACACATGAACATTTTACATGTCTCATTTAAATAGCCCATCAAACTCAAAAGGAAGAACTGGGATTTTAAAGATATTTGAAAGAGGTGTGTCCCCAGAAACTTCTCCTCTCCGGGGAGCATGCAGGAGGCCTCTTGCGGGAGGAGATCACCTCCACCCTAGGAGAGGAGAGAAGACAGAAGGGTATTTGTTTCACAGAGCAGCTGACAGTACAAATTACTGTTTTCTTTGTTGAACGGATTGGTGAGACATGTTAGTACCCTGCCTGACTGTTGCCTGAAAGAATGGAGGATAAAGAATAAAACTGTAAATTGCTGGTTAGTTATCCCGTATTCCAGTCTGGACAAATCTGGAATTCATGCTTATGTTCTGTTTAATTTCAAATTGAATGATAAGTCTGAATCACCTAAAATCTTGTGACAATGATTTAAATGATAAATGAATTTGATAATAAAATCAGAAAGATTAAGAGTTTTTTTTTAAAAAAAAATCATTTCAGTTCATCTGCTCCCTCCCCTCTGGTTCGCTTTTCTAAGTCAACTAAAAATGTGTTTCATCATGTGTCTTTGATTAAAGCTCTGTGTCCACAGAGAAGCACAGAGTAGATATGTTTCACTCAGGCAAGTGGTTTGGTCACTAGAAAATTAACATTTAATAACACACATCTCCAGCAGGCACTTCTCTTCTGTTTCATGTTGTGAAAAAACTGAACCTTAGTGAGTAGGGAAATGGCCTTAAAACATTTCTCCGATTTCTTTCTTTTCTTGTCCTTCCCTTCCTTTCTCTCTACCTTCCTCCCTTCCTTCCTTTCCTTTTTTTCTTTCTGTAATTCACTCATTCTTTCTTTAGCTTTATATCTCATTCACTATAGTTATCATCAGCATATTAACTTAGCCTGAGCATATTAAATAAAATTATCTGGGTGGGACAAGCACGCTGATATGCTAAGAAACACTGACTAATTTCCCTAACTGCCCCCAACCAAACTGGAGATGTCATATGATAAGCATGATGTGCAGAGGCTGTAACTGCAGGAAGGCTGTGACTGCAGGAAGGCTGTAACTGTGGCAGCTGAGAAGGCATAATAGCCGGGATGGCAACCAGGGCCTGCTAGGAACATGTATAAACCACTTGAGCTTTCTTTTCTAGACCTTAAGTGGGTTGAGTGGATGGCTCATAACATGTAGCTCTATCTGATGAGCTTTGCTGGTCTGTACTTGGCAATCATGATATTCACTATAATGCAGGGCCCAGGCTCAGGGGCAAGACCATCTTTTTTGGTGGGGTGAGGAAAACCTGGGACTGTACCCAGGGACACTTAACCACTAAGCCACATCCCCAGCCCTTTTTATTTTTTCTTTTGAGACAGGGTCTTGCTAAATTGCTTATGGCCTCCCTAAGTTGCTGAGTCTGGCTTTGAACTTGCAATCCTCCTGCCTGTGCCTCCCGGAATGCATGTGCCACTACCTCCAACCAAGACCATCTTGGATCAGAGTGATTCTTGGGGAAGTGAGCTCACTGCCCCAGTTCTCAGCCTCTACATCTATAAAAAGGACAAGATAATAGACTTTTGCTGATGCTGTCGCGAGGTCTAAGTGTGATAACATACCTAAAGCTCTTAGAATAGAAACTGGCATAAATGTTGGCTGACATTTGATTTTAAAAAACACTTCCCTTTCCAGATGGATTTTTCTGAGTTTAGCATTTTTTTCCTGGTCACCACCCCCAACTGTCTGGAGTGTCCATATGTGCCCTGTGGATATTTTGTGGCTTTTATTATCCCTTGGAAGTGTTTACATAGATATTCTGCATGGCCATTAGAATTCTAATTTTCAAGCTGTGAAAAAAGGTGAAATTTGTTAGGAAAAAGATCTAAGCTTTAAATACCTCTAAGGTTCTTTGGTTTTAATCTTGTGGCTGCTGTTTAATGCCTCCATGCAGCTATAAATCAGAATCTTAAGACTTAAGTATCAGGATCTGAAGGGAGGTATTAAAAATGCTGATACCTCCCACTGTTTTGTAAGTCATTAGGTCTTGCCTAGACCCCAACTCAAAGGTATTTATTAATTCACACATTCATTCTTTCACTCACAAGCTTTTATTGAGCACTTGCTATGTGTTAGTCACTGTGTAAGACAAATAGTGCGTAGCTCCTCCTTTTAAAGAGCTCAGAGCCTACAGAGATGACAGATGAGCAAATGTGTTAGTTACCAAAGTGAAAATGGTCGTTACAGAGGCATAAACTAAATATTGTGAACTCAGAGAACCAAGCAACTAATTGTGCCTGAAGCAGTCAGCAAGTGACAATTGTGGGCCTTGAATGGAAAGCAGGATCTTTGTGCATGTTCATCTGTCCAGGGATTGCAGCCAGGGGGAAGAGCAAAGGCCCCTGTGAAAGGAATTGAGGTCTTTTGGGTAGCACAATCTATATCACTTAGAAATGAGAAGTTTATTTTATAAGGGGGCAAGAGAGAGATGGGAAACAACCCCATCTAGCTTCTTCTTTTTCTTTTCTTTTTGTACTGGGATTAAACTCAGGGATGCTCTACCACTGAGACATCCCATAGCCCTTTTTATTTTTTATATTGAGACAAGGTCTCACTAAGTTGGGTAGTCTGGTTTCCTACCTCAGCCTCCCAAAGAGCTGGATTTACTGGCATGTGCCACTGTGCTTGGCTGTTACTTCTTAAATTTAAAAGTATATGTGTAATGATTTTGAATCACCCCTCCAGAACCTGATTATCTTTAACCATTAAATATATCCCCAAATGTATGTAGTATGGGATATCATCCCCAGTTCCCAAATAAGTGGGTTTTTGTGTGTGTGGGGTGGGGGTACTAGGGATTGAACTCAGGGGCATTCGACCACTGAGCCACATCCCCAGCCCTA